TTCCGCTTTGCTACATTTAGCTTCAGGCTTCCGTTTTGCTACTTTTAACTTTAGGCTTGTTTTGCTACATTTAGCTTCAGGCTACTGTTTTACTACATTTAGCTGTAGGCTTCTGTTTTGCTACATTTAGCTGTAGGCTTCTGTTTTGCTACATTTAGCTGTAGGCTTCTGTTTTGCTACATTTAGCTGTAGGCTTCTGTTTTGCTACTTTTAGCTGTAGGCTTCTGTTTTGCTACATTTAGCTGTAGGCTTCTGTTTTGCTAATTTTAGCTTTAGGCTTGTTTTGTAACATTTAGCTTGTTTTGCTACTTTTAGCTTCAGGCTACTGTTTTGCTGATTTTTAGCTTTTGTTTAGTTTTTCAGATTTTAGCTTCTGTTCATCTTCTTTATTAAACTTAAGCACTTTAGCCTCTCGTAAGTCCCGAAGTGTAAAAGTCTATAACTGAAAGAGGGTGGGATTGTTTTTCCCCTCACGACTTTAATGATATTTAAATAAAAACATCTGCAAGTGTTCATGTTTAAATCGGCTCGTAATCCTGGCCTGGAGCCGGGACTATTTTTGTTTTTCTTCGGCCGTTTGTGACAAACTTTCCACGCTCCGATGTCACCGTTTGAGCAACGGTCAACATTCCTGCTGCATGTTTGAGATGCTGAAGGGCTCGTTTGTTTTTTCCTCTCAAACGTGGAATACCTTTTTGATGACCAGCCTCCGGTGTGGGATTACGAAACCACGAGTTTTGTTGGATTCAACTCGAGGTTCATGTTCAACAGGAGCTCCGAACGAACCTCAATCTTCCTGAGTGACGCCAAGAAACGTAAAAAAAAAAAAAGACATTTATGGACGGTTCTCTCCAGCCTCCGGTTGATCTTTTTTCTGTATGTTGCACTTAAGTCTCTTTAACTCCTACTCCCACAAATTAACCTGGGATTAACAGCACTGATAATCTGTGCAGAGTGATACATGTGATGCAGTTAAACTCTGTAAGCCTGTGTTCATGTAAATTAAACCCGTTGAAACAAACAGGAAGTGGGTGATTACTGGTGATGACCGCAACGTCAGATTTAGAGAAATGGAGCTAAAACTTGGCGTGGTAGTAGCCGAGAGTCACCCCAACAGATCACGCCAAGATAGCACGTATATTCAAGGCCTTCTACGCCTTTAAATAGTTTTGTTTAAATTTATATTCATTTGTTGGATTTTTTCAAGCTGTATGCACTTTATAAAAGTTTCTATTTACCTTAACTTCCTTGTAGTTTTAATGTACTAATGGTTTTCCAGCAGGTGATTATAGGCCAAAATAAAATATTCAAAGTGTTCCCTGCCAAGTCGCGTCATCGTTTGTTAATTTTAAGATTTAATCCAACACTTGAGTTGTTTTTACAGAAAACGTGTAACTGCAGCGATTCGTTCCCGTCTCTGTCCTGAAGTCCTCCGTGTCCTGGTAAACCCTCATCCTCCTGTTTCAAAGAACACGCCAGCGTGCCACAACGGCAGCTTCTCTGGGGACAACGGAAGCTGCTGTTCAGGTTCCTGATGGAGAACGTGGCGGCTGAGACACAGAACGTGGCAGGAAGTCGTGACAACACCTTCCTGTAGTCAAATTATGAATAATGTCCAAAAAACAACAATTTGACCAGACGTATGATTCTTGCAACAAAAATGTAATTCTCAAAAGAATTGTGACAACTGTACCCTCTATGTACCCTGTAAGTACCCCCATATACACCTTGTAAATGCCCTTTATGTACAACTACCCTTTATATACCTGTGAGTACCATGTGGCTGCAAGTACCCCATACATACCTAGTAAATATCTTGTAATTGCCCTTTATATACCTGTAAGTACCCTCTATGTAACCCTGTAAGTACCTTATGTGTAACTATCTGTCAATACCCCATACGTATCCCTTGTGAATACCTTAATTGCCCTTTATATACTTGTAAGTACTGGTATGCTGTATGTACCAATAAGTACGTTGTGTGTGACTTGGTAAGTACCTGTAAGTACCCCTGTATGTACCTTGTAAATACCTTGTAATTGCCCTTTATATACCTGTAAGTACTGGTATGCTCTATGTACCGATAAGTACCTTGTGTGTGTGTGTGACTCGGTAAGTACCCTGTATGTACCTTGTAAATACCTTGTAATTGCCTTTTATACACCTGTAAGTACCTTGTATGTACCCCTATAATTACTTTGTGTGTGACTCAGTATCTGTCAGTACCCCCATTTGTACCTTGTAAATACCTTGTAATTGCACTTTATGTACCCAGTAACCACCCTTTACATACCTTGTTTGTGATTCTGTAAGTACCCCCCCACGTACCTTGTAAATACCTTGTAATTGTCCTTTGTGTATCCCATAGTAACTACCTTTTATATATACATGTACCCTGTATGTACCCTTTTATAATAACCCTTGAATGTGCGCTGTAGGGATTTATTACTTGAGTAAAGAAATCTTGAATTTTAGATGTTTTCTCAAACAAAAACACTTTCTTTAATAAATGGTCAGGCACCAGAGCTGGACTGAAAATACAACAAAAAGCAGCCAAAGTTTAAAGAAAAATTTCCAAAGAGCTTCAGAAAACCCTCCTGCTGTCCTTTGGTCATGACCCTAGGACAGCAGGAGGATTTAAAAGAATGACAAAAACATAAGGAGCTAAATATGTAAAGGTCGAAAGGTCCCAAATGTTTTGCACAGCGCTGTGAGATGGCAACTCGATGATGACACACGCAAAGCGGTGAAGCCCTTCCCGGATGAGGTCATGGGTAATGAGACGAAGTTGAATGTGTTGCCTCGACGCCAAAGTCAAAACACTGAGTACACGTGACGCACTGTTCGTACGGGCAGGTCAAAGGACTGGCTGCTACAACTAATAACCACCTACAGGACAACTAT